AAATGAAACAATTTTAACCATGTGCTGTCCAAGTGATCCGGGTCAACAGGTCGAACACTCGTATATTCTCCTTGACTGTAATAGCTCAAGTTGTTGCTCATTTTCTCCAGTTTCCAATCACTTATATGTCTTTTGTTCGATTGAGATCCCCAACCTGTGTAATCATCATAGTACACGCCTCAACTCCCAATCAATTGCTATTCATTTTTTCGCATAATCATTCGCAACAACTGCCCATCAATATTAACTGCTTCAATCCCAGAATAACTCTTTTTCACACCAACAAATTTAATAAAGAAAATGTTGCAAAATATCAGAAACTTTCATAAGTGAACAAACACTCTTAAAGAACGCTATGATAATGTACATGTAAATCCATGCGATCAAAAGTGTCATTTTACCAATTCACAAACGAACCAAGAAGTATAGTAGGTTGTAGATTATAATAAAGAGATAGCTGTACATCACTCATACGATAACTCGTGAAAAGACCCAATGCACATCGTTGGGTGTCATACGGATAGGCCGAGAAGTCAAAAGCGCATCCGACTTTTATTGAGAACGTTGGATAGACTTCAACACGGCTCCACTGAATAATGCGAGCATTACATCAACGCTCAATACGTTTTATGAAGCCGAGTAATTCATATCGGTTATGGCTTAATGGCTCTTCCTATTAGGATTCAAATCTTCATCACAGTATCGGTACAGCAACTCGTATTATTGGTGAGTGATAAATTATGCATTTACATTGGGCACTACTAGTAGTGTTGGAGAATAATGTTGTAATAAATGATTTGTGATTAGGAAACGAATTGAGATGGATCATTCGAACGGCATATAAATGCATCATGAAATGTAACGTTCAGACATTCATTTATTGCTAACAAGTATATATTCATTAATGCTGAATGAAAATATTGGTAATAATAAAGATATAAGAATAATAAACCGTATTTCCGTTCGACTGAATGATAACATGTGACCGTTTTGAAATTTCGAAGTATTGACCCACTCCAGAAACACTGCAATTAGCTGAAATTATTTAAAGCCATGCCAAGATCTAAGTCAATCAAAGATTTTAAAGCAGTGATGAGAATTACAAGTACAAATCATAATGAACGCGCCTGTTCGTAACCCTCAACTCAGGTGTCCATATTTCCCACTGTTTAACCATCGTTGTACGAACTCCGTTATGCTCACTTGGATCCCAAACAGCGAATTCATCTTTCCACGTCTACAACTCGATGAATTCCATGAAATTATTAATTCAAGTATGACTGAACGTAAAGTTCAGATGTGCTTGCGATGAAGTGTTTAAGTGAGGATTTCATCTGCATTTTCATTCATGAATGCTGATTATCTAGCGAATGATATGGATGACGGCGACGAATTCATAACGATAACGACAAAGATGGCAATGATAGTGAAAATGAGATGATAAAGCACCATGTAAATATGTCCGTTGAGTGTAACGGTCTGCTCGAT